AAATAAAACTAAAATCAAGATACAATAAACTAAATATTAAATCGTTATTTTTTAGTTCCTTGTTTTAGTGACATGCCATATTTTGCAGTAACATCCATTCATTGTTTAAGTGCAGTATTTTCAACAATTTTCACTACTTGTTTATGATTTTTCCTTATAAAATTTTATTTATACATGCTTACTTCTATTAGTATTAACCATTTTCCTACTGGCATGATGCCATTGTGTGTTATACTATGCTGTTGTCCTTTGCTATAGAGTAAAATGTGAGGAAGCAAAGTGTGTGGGATTCAAACACTTGCAGTTTTGCAAATCTTCAAAATTTACCAAAATTTTTAGGTCATACAGTAAAAATTATATATGTATTTTAGAAAATCAATACTTATGACTACAGTACTAATTTATGTTCATGCACACATAAATGTCTTTCTAATTAAAATAATTTGTACAATAAATTATAAACTCTTAATAATGTTATGGTTATATCACTATTTTTTTAAAATTTCATTCAGTATCAAACTACTCAAATCATCCATATGCTGAATAAACTTCATTTAAAAAAGAAAAACATGCAAAAAATAACATTACCTAATCTGAAATACATCTAATAGAATATATGTATTTCTAAGGTTTTAAGAAAAGAGAAAAACTAATATTATATTTAACCCTGAAAAGTTATCACATACATTGAGAAAACTTTATTCAGAACATTTCCTTTTTGTATTTAGCTATAAAGTGATGAACACATTATGTTGTTATTGGTTGCAATTTAAAGTCTTTATCACCTGACTTTTTTTTTAGCGTTTATTTTAACTGAATGGACGACAAGTTGATAGTCAGAAAAATCCCAGTACGCTGTTGCGTGGAAGCCCATGTTGGTCAACACAACAATATATTCACAGAAAGCAAACAATGTATACACTACAAAAGCAATGAAAATAAAGTAATTAAAGTATCATTTTAGGCTACTGTTCTCAGCTTTAGTACAGAAATTTGTATTATTTATGCATTTCTTTTCTGACTATTGAAGTTGAAATAAACATTAAACTATACCAATATTTTCTATTTTTAATACATTACGTTTTCTTGATTTAATAATTATTTAGTGTATTACTAGATGTAGTTAAAACGTTTGCAACACGAGCATTAAGAGATAAGTTAATATTGCAAAATCAATAACATCATTTAGTGAAAATTTGCAAAAGTAGTTTTTCCTCTCAGGGTTGAAAATTGTTGTAAAAAAGTAAAATCACATTTTATTACACACATATATAGCTGCTACCAAAACATTGGTAAATTTAAATTTCATTTATATGAAATAATTCTTTTATGTTGCTTATTCAAAGTCAGTCTGATATACCTTTAGGGAGCACATTTAATTTAATGTGCGTGTTTTGAAACAAATATAGTAATACTGTTTCAGGATCAGAAGACTTTACCTACTACTGATTGGAAAATTAGAATCTTTTATCATGGGCAAGGTTAACTATTTCAAATGAAAACAAAACAAGAGAGACCTACAAGCAAAGTTAAAACACAAAATAGTCTTGACGAAGAGCTCCATTTTTAAAACATGCATTTAAAATCAAAAGTATATGGCCACTTTATTAATAGCTAAACTTGAATTTTACTTAAAAATACAAGATAAAATTAATTCACCTCCTGCTTCACAATACCAGTTGTGTCTCATAAAGAAATAGCAAGCTCCAAGAAGAGCTGTCACATTCATGGTAGTGAGGACCAACTTTGTTTTTAATGATTTTTGTTCCTAAAAAAGAAAACTGGTTAAACTTTAAGTATTCCACTTTTTCTCTTTTCACAAATATTTTACTACGATCTTATAACAGTGTATTTAGTCATCGTTTAAAACAAAAACAATTATGAATCCCTTTCAAATCATGTGTAAATGTTTCCTCCTACACAGTATTCATAATCTGAACTGTTATGCAGATTTTGTGTTCTGTAATCAACTTAGTTATATACAAATATTTGAGGAATTGAGGAAAGCCCCCCCAACTTACCAAGGAAGCACCCATGAACAGACGAGACTTGGAACAAGGCAGAGGAATGGGAACCCCAACCATGGTCAAGTCTCTGTCGAGCCACCATGCAAAATCAGCCCTGATCCCAGGTGGAAGGGAGATGGAATGGTCCAAGAGATCGTGGGAGAAATTCCACTGGTTAAAAAGTATTCAATGAAGGTAATGCATGTGAACCCAACCCAAGGGAATGAGAGCTTCCAAGGAGAAGATAGGGCTGTTGTGACTGCCTATTCCATATACTGGAGTTCAAATGGAGAAGGCTGGGCTTGACTGTGATGGGAAGAGAACCATCAAATGAATAAGATACTACGAGGAGTTAGTAAAGGGCTTCTCCAACTTGATTAGAAACCTCACCCAAGCAACTTTTCGAAAAAGTAAGCAGGTGTGAGTGACTGACTGGGTATGGGAAAATGTTAGCAAGTGAAGATGATCTGCAAAGGAGCGTACTACACAATAAAATACATACGGAGCTGAAAAAAACTGAACAGCAGCACCCAGAACTGGAAAACAGAACCTTCATAGACGAACCAAAGAAAAACAATGTGACACTGAGGCAAAAAAAAAAAACTACCAAAGTGAAAGGTAAGACTCAATGGTGAAACGAGGTGTCTCCCAATAAAATACACAGCCAGAACAGAGCTATGATGGGAATCCAATCTTCCTTGTTTTTGGAGACAACACAAAGATGGGATTAAAATTTCAGTTAAGCAGGTACCACCCATTTGATAGCTCCTTTTTGTAGTAGGTCTCGACCAGACTCAGCAAGACTCTGTACAAGGTATGATACCTCCTATGAGGAGTGAAGGAGATCTGAGAAATGGATAGAGAGGAGCAAAATGGAAAGCAGAAACCTGCAGATATAACCCATATAACTCACAGAATTGTCATGAAGTGTAGCCAAAAATACACATAAACTAAACATATTTGGAGAAAGGACTCATTACTAACAAACTAACAAAACTTAGAAAAGTGTAGAGTCTACAAAGTATAGAAAAATAAATACAAAAGAATAAGTAACACTGAAATTACTAAACCACTAAAGGAACTTAGAAGATAAATGACCCTTAAATATACAAGTACACTCAAAGAAACTACAAGATAAAGGACACAAAATTAAAACCTACCCTGAAGAATATGAGAATAAAAACGCACCCAGTTAACAATAACTATGTTTGACTCAAAACTAATACCCAGTTAGATGTGACTAGTAGTAAAGAAAAGGAACTTACAAACTAAATAACATTAACAGAGAAAAGAAGTAAAACTTTAAACAAAAATAAAAGAATAATCAAACTACACACACAAGTTTAAACTAAAGTAACTAAGATGGTAAAGAAGTATAAAAATCTTATTTACTCAACATAGAGCAGAGAAAGTATGAATGACCTAAATTATCAAATGTGGAAATTAGATTGATCCACACTAGCTCACATAATCTCAATGAACATGGGGATACCTAGGGGGTAGGTATAAAAACACACTGAAAAACTTACCACAGGTCTCCTGGAAAAAGACCAATACTTAACACAGAAGATAACGTGGAGATGCAGTATCAGGTGGAAAGTGCCGTAAAAAGACAATTTCCACATAGTAGTTCTATCTGTCTGCACAAAAAAACAAAAAAAACGTAACTTGAAAGGAAAAATCATCGGCCCAAATGTAAGATATGAGCTCCCCGTGAACTAAAGCCTGTGCTTTCCCAGCAGACATCATAGACCCTGAGACATAGGACAAGTGTCAGAACCATTGTCTACTTATGGCAGGAATTTCATCATCCTCAACATTCAATCTCTAATTCATGTGAACAAAGTAGAATTCTGAAAACAGAAACATTTCTAAAACAAACAAGTAGAAACAAAGAAATAAAACACAAGAAGCAAATCTTGAAGTTGAAACTGATATAAACTTGTGATCAAGCACAATCGAAATTTTGTAGTCAAATCTAAATACTAGAATGCCAACTGAGAAAGTGAGGATTGTGCTGCAATGGTATAGGGAGCTACCTGCACTAATAGAGATGGTGCAGTATGATTGATGGAGGGTAGTCACATGATCAGCATATGTTGCTGCAATGGTGCAAAAATGAAAGGGTATAATAGACTGGTACGCTGTTGAAAATTTTAGCAAAGCTTAGAGGGCAAATTAAGGTCAAGATAGGTTTGGGTGAGAAGGTAGTGCCATTTTGGAATTACCAATACTACTATTTGTCTCTATTTTCTGAACCCTCTACTGCAACTGAAGATTTCTTTATAAATTCACCTCTTATTCATTCTTAAACATAAAAAAACTAACCTCTGACACTTATTTTAGAGCTTTTAATGCCCTGCCGCTCTTACAGAAAACTACATTTACCAACAACTGTTTTCTTCATATAAAGACTTTCTTCCTTCTTTACTAAAACCATTTACAATATGACAAAATTTTGTAGAGGATTTAATTTCTGAGAACCACAGAAGCTATTTAACTAGCTTTAAAATGATAATTTGGTTTTGAAATCTAATTTTCCATCATTTTTTTAATTACTTAAATATCAGCCAACATGTGAGCTGAATTACTTTACAACAAATACTAGAACTTTTTCTTCAATTGGCACTGTTAAATAGTGGCAAACTATTGAAAAACATAATACAGAATGAAAAATTTTATGTATAAAAACCAATGTGGTACATACCTTCAATAATCTGATAACTGTAAAACCATTTTTAAATTTTATAATTTTTGATCATTCATAAGTACTATTATAATACATCATACTTGCATGCTTTTATATATAAGTTTTTTTTATTAATTTTTGTTTGTTTGTTAACTTAGTTCTCAGTCCTATGATTTCTTCCTGACACAATTGTTAATTACATATCTTTAGATGCACTATTAAAAAATTAAAAACCTGATACTTCAACTTACACATTTTGTAAAATTTAATAAATAATTAAAATCAACATTTTATATTTACACAATTGTAAGAAATTTACTGAAGCCATCAATGGCTTCCACTTTAAAAGCATACACTACATGTACATTTCAATGACCTCTACGTCGTCTTCACACACACTATTTACTTATTGATAAATGTTATAAAATTAAAACCCATGTTAAATTATCTATACAATTACTCTGAAATAGCTCACCAAAAGTGTCAGTTTTCTTCTGAATGTATATCGTGGTAAAATACATGACAGGAACATGTAAAAGCACGAACTCAGCACAAATGTAACAAATAATTTCACATGAGCAGCTGAAATACAGAAATAAGTCATATTATACTGCAAATGTTATTTTAAAAAACGTAATCAAACATTTTGTAGATCAAATTGTAATCCTATTTTTAAATGAATAAATATGTACTTAGAGGTATTGTAAAACAAATTCAGTAATGGATCCAGGACTTACTCATGGAGTGGTAATCCTTGCAAGAGAGTGAAGCAACTTAGTGGGGATGAAGCCCATCTCCCTCTCAGTAGCTGAAGCCTTTTCATAAATCTGTACATCCAGGAAGCTTGATGTAACTGGTAAATATGTCACCATGCAGTCATAGAGAACATACAGTTGTTGGGGTTGAGGTGTAAGGGTACAAGATCCCCCCCCCCCCACCTCTACCCATATACACGGATCCCAAGGCTGCAAACCTAAATCTATTTCCTTACAAAATAATATATGGATAAAAAGTAACTATTTGGTATTTCATGGATGGCCTTTCACACTCAATACAGAAAAAAAAGTAAAAATTTAAATCCACCCTTTATTTTCAGGAAATCATTGATTCTTCTCTTATACTCTTCTATAGTGCTGGTCTCCATTACTGCTAATTTCAACTTCTTCTGTAGCTTTTTCCCGTATCGATACGGGGTCGCTATTTTTGGTGTTGGCAGGGTTTTTAAGGCCGGATGCCCTTCCTGATGCCAACCATCTC